CAATTCAATTGGGCATTGTAACGGGTTAACCAGTCCATTCCTAGGATTACATCATATCCCTTAATCGCTAAACCTATCAGGTCGGCTAGTAACTTCCACTCTCCAACCCAGATCTCACAATTTCTATATACCAAATTGGACATTAGACTTTGGTCCCCAGTAGACGTTCTAACTTCCAAGTCATAAGATAACTTAATTGACTTCAAGTCTATTCCACTCATAAAATTAGGGCTTACAAAAGAATGAGTCGCACTCGGATCAATTAAAATCTTACCTAAACGGTGGAAGACAGGAATCGTACCTTCGACCACCTCAGTCGCATCAGGCACCTGTTGGTGATTCAGTGCATAAACCCTAGCTGGTTCCTTAGGTCGGCTCTCTCCAGCACTAGTCTGCTTAGAGGTTGACTTTTCTGGCTTCTGAGCGTTACCTCCCAATTTTGGTGCCTTTGGGCAACCTGCGAGTTGGTGTTCTGTACTCCCACAATACAAACATTTCCCTAATTTCCTCCAGCAATCATTCTTAGAGTGGTTAGATTTACCACAATGTCCACAGGTAATTTGAGGGGTTACTACCGATCCACTGGAAGGTGCTCCCCTAGCTTGAGTTGGCCCACTACGTCCTCCTCGGGACAAAACTCTCCTTGAAACTCCTGCGGTCCTTATTCCTCCCATTTCTCTTCCCATTTTGGAAGGCTGTGCATTCTTACTAGCCTGTCCAGAAGTGTAGCTAGAAAAGTTCGTCTTCCTATTGTGAAAGTCCTTCACTTGCAGTCTCGCACTCTCAACCCTTTGCACTTTCTCTAAAGCCTTAGTAAATGTAGAGATTTGGGCTGCAGCCAATCCCTCCTGGAGTTTCACATTAAGTCCCTGCATAAGCAAACACTTAAACATTCCACTTAAATTCACTTAACAAGTCAATTCAAATAATTCAAGCACTTCATCTCACTAAATTCAAGTGCAATTCACTTAAATGAGAACGAGTGTGATAAAGTACACACTTGCCTCGGTACTTCCAAAATTTTCATTTATCAAAAGCAATTAACACGTTATCACACATTTGACACTCACCAAGTGATTCAAGTAGCAAGTTCAAACGATAGTTTAGGAGTCTCCCGTGTAATCCCCTTGAAGGTCCTCTTGAGTGCTTGAGCATTTAATAATAAACTATCATGTATAAATCCCAATTATTGAATTAGATTGTACTCTAGTACAATCTAAGAAAATCTCATGAAAATGAGCCCTATTTACTCGTAAATCGAGGTGAAAGGGCTGGGTTTTCAAGCACAAAAAAAATCTGATTTTCATATCTAAATTCAAGTGTAAGATGATCATGTGATATCGAAAGAAAAGGAAGAATTCGGAAAACTCAATTTCCTTAAGTTTCGAAAATTTCAGCTTTGATACGAGATTTTTGAAAAATCGTATCTCACTTTTTACAAGTCCAAAATTGAAAAACTTGGTACCGTTGGAAACTTTTTCCAAAGTACTAAAAGTTCCTAGATATACTTTCCCATGATTCCAAATGGAAGACATTCAAAATTTCGCTCAAAGTTATTGTTTTAGGCTTGCGAAACAGTTTTGAGGTTGGTTTTTCGCCAACTTTGGAAATTCGGCAAAATTCACAAAATTTGAAATAGTTTCTCAGATTTGAAACTCAAATGGAGTTTCAATCAAGGTTTAAAGAAAAACAAGCGGAAGAAGAATCGCAGTTTTGAGCACCAAGATATGGCGGCTCAAAATTGCTGAAAAATAAGACCGTTGGCCAATTTTCCAGATTTAAATCGCTCACTTTGGGACATTGGTTGAACATCGAAACGGACTCAGAAAGGCACCAAATTTCGTATTATTATCCTACCATATAAGGTCTATTTCTCTACCAAATTTCATAGGAAAATTCATTCGAAAAGTTGGTTAACAAAACCATCAAACTTTCCAAATCTCCAAGGCAAAACTGCCTTGCATCTCTAGTTCTCTTTTCCTCAAACCTTTGGCCAATAAAAATGCCTAAAACATGTCTTATTTATGATAACCAGGTCTAATAAGGATCCAAGATACATTTGGTAGGTGGTTTATGCCAAGAATTTTGAATAGCAAGTCTCAAGTCAAGATTGGTTACAAATCTGTTCAAAAGAGGGTTTTATCCCACAAAGTCAGCTTTGAAATCTTGTCATAAATCACTCAATTCAACTCGGAATTGAGCGAGGTTGGTGGCGTTGAAAACTAGATTCATAAAAATATAATTTCTTATAAGAAATAAGTTTTAAAATCTGTCCACAACTAGCTCACATTTGAGCATCAATTCGTTGCTCAAAACAGAGCTCCCAGTGTAGATGCGAAACAGGACAGTCAACTTTAAATGATTGATATGGACTACTCAGGTGGAATCAGGATGTACATTTTATACCAATAGAAAGCTGAAAATGTCTAGTTTCCAGTGCCATAAACGACAGTTGATTTAGACATCAGAGTAAAAAGTTATAGGCAAAATAAAAACACTGCCAGAGCAGTTGCGGGAAAATTTTCCAGTTTTACTGGTTTCCGAAAACACATCATTTGGCCAACCAAATCATGAAATTTTTTGATGAAACTTTGTACACAACCTATATTACATATATACATCAGAAACAAGTCATTAAAACCTCAAAAATTTGCACTAAAGTGCACGGAATTCACAGGGGCAGAATCGGAAAAATTCTCCCTTTGACCTCCTTTGGGTTTTCATCCTTAATATCCCTCATTTCTAGTATAACAAGCACTAAACCAACACTAATAACCCCATAGTTCATCAAATCAGTCCATCCAACCATAGTGGGAATTCATAGAGCCTACACACCAAAATCCAATATAAATAAAGCTACCCACATGCATGCATGAACTCATAAGTGCACTACTACTTCCATAAACTAAGAATTTCATGGTTGATCATTGATTACCTTAGTTGATGACTTAGGCAGAAATTTTGATCCTCTTAAAGCTGACAAGAACCGTGGAAATGAAGTCCTTTTTCTAGCTTGAGTTGCTCTCCAAGTGTTTAGCAATGTTTAGTGTAAATTTGAGGCTATTTGGTGGAGTGAAGTGAAGTGAAATGATGAAGAAAGCTAGCTCTTTCTTCCATTGGGCATTGTAACGGGTTAACCAGTCCATTCCTAGGATTTCATCATATCCCTTAATCACTAAACCTATCAGGTCGGCCAGTAACTTCCGCTCTCCAACCCAGATCTCACAATTTCTATATACCAAATTGGCAATTAGACTTTGGTCCCTAGTAGGCGTTCTAACCTCCAAGTCATAAGATAACTTAATTGGTTTCAAATCTATTCCACTCATAAAATTAGGGCTTACAAAAGAATGAGTCGCACCCGGATCAATTAAAATCTTACCTAAACGATAGAAGACAGGAATTGTACCTTCAACCACCTCAGTTGCATCAGGTATCTGTTGGTGATCCAGTGCATAAACCCTAGCTGGTACCTTATGTCGGCTCCCTCCAGCACTAGTTTGCTTAGAAGTTGACTTTTCTGGCCTCTGAGGGTTACCTCCCAATTTTGGTGCCTTTGGGCAACCTGTGAGTTGGTGTTCTGCACTCCCACAATACAGACATTTCCCTAACTTCGTCCAATAGTCATTCTGAAAGTGGTTAGATTTACCATAATATCCATAGGTAACTTGAGGGGTCACTGCCGATCCACTAGAAGGTACTCCCCTAGCTTGAGTTGGCCCATTACGTCCTCCTCTGGACAAAGCTCCTCTTGAAGCTCGTGCAGTCCTTATTCCTCCCATTCCTCTTTCCATTTTGGATGACTGTGCATTCTTACTAGCCTATCCTAAAGTGTGGCTAGAAAAGTTCATTTTCCTATTGTGAAAGTCCCTCACTAGCAGTCTCGCACTTTCAACCCTTTGCACTTTCTCTAAAGCCTCAGTAAATGTAGAGATTTGGGTTGCAGTCAATCCCTCCTGAAGTTCCACATTAAGTCCCTGCACAAACCGCTTTATCCGTCTTCGCTCATTAACTACCAATTCCGGAGAGGCACACTTAGAAAGTTTAGTAAACTTTCCTTCATACTCAGCTACACTGAGGGTCCCTTGTTTCAACTTGATAAATTTAGCCTCCCTCTTTTCTTGGATCTAAGGTGGAAGAATGTTTTCATTAAACTTCCTCGTGAAATTCTCCCAAGTCCAAGGGGTTTGAACTCTCTCCCATTTTCTTTTTATCATGTCCCACCAAGCACGAGCCACTCCCTCAAATTGAAAAGTAGGAAAATTCACTCGCCTATCCTCAGTATAGTCTAGAGCAGCGAATATGTTGGTCATCCTCTCCAACTAGTTCTCCGCTACTTCAGGGTCGGGTTCACCAATGAATTTAGGCGGGTTAAACTTCAAGAACCTCTCTAATGCTCTATCCTCACCTCTCTCCTGTCCCCCAATTTGATTAAGTGGTTCGGGACCTTACCTTTCAGTTAAGCGTTCTAGGATATCAGTCATCCTATCAAAGGCAGTAGCCACTTGATTACCCTCAATATTTTCTTGTCCCTGAGTCAGTCCAATTGCCGATCCCTGGTCAACATCATGAGGTTGGGCCTGTCTAGTCCCTCGCCCACGGCCTCGACCACTCCTTCGTCCATCCATTATTCTAGGTGTGCCTAGTACAAGAAATAAATCAATTATGCAAGAAAGAGTCGAAAATAAGAACCAATCAAGAAAGCACTGGAAATAACAATAATTTACATTCATTAACACTTCAAGTTCATACAATTAGCAAGTCATGGGGAGATCACAAAAATATAGCACGTAAGTGCCACAGGAACACTTTTAGTCACAGAAGACTAAAGTAAAAGCAAGTGTCTCAAAAGTAGGCCACATAGTCATGCAAAATACAATGGCCTCAACACTTAGCATGACCCCTGCTAGTCCTAACTAAACCAGTCAAAAGGGTCAACTAGTCTAGACCTAGTCCACAGTAAAACTGCCAGGCGGAATCTCCTCCTTAGGATCCTCCTCCTAATCCTCCTCCTGATCAGAGCTCTGGACAATATCCGACACCCCCTCTATCATCTCAGTGGCATCAGCCAGGTTCCTAAAAGCCCGATCACGGACCTCCTTACCTAATCTAGTAAGTCGAGCCCTAGTACTTGGGAGCTCCTCAAGAACAACTGCAGCTGTAGCCACCTCGCCCTCCAGAACCTTCTCAAGCTCCACAATCCGCTCTCCCTGAGCACTAACCATCTGCCTCAACTCATCCACCTCTGCCTGTAAGTCTAAGTTAACATTTACCAACTGACGATGCTCGTCGTCCAAAGCTAGCACAACATGGTTCGGGTAGGCAAAAGTCAACCTGCACGGACATCGAGGGTATCTATCAGAGGGTGAATAGCGCACTCGAGCCCCTCCACCAAGGGACCAGCATGGCCATTCCCATTAGCTGCCGGGGTTCCATTTCCATTTTCCATCCCTGCAAAATAATCACACTTTTTGGGTTAGAAATTTAATCACTAACTCGCTCGGATGTCACTTAGGCATGCCTAACCTAGTTACTAACTTGCCCAAGTATCACTTGAAGTATGACTAAATCATTCTGTCTCAGGCCTTAAGGGTAGAGTATCTAGTATGTCTCCCATATAGATCTCTAACCTAGTGCTCTGATACCAACTGTGACGCCCCCACTTCTCCCTAAGGCGAACCAAAAGGTATCCGCGGGACGCCTGCCCAGCTTTCGCCAGGACTCGGTACAATTTCCATTCAAGCTTAATACAATAGTATTTAAAGTGATAAGGCAAAGTAAAGAAGTGCGAAAAACTTCTATAACTTCTCCAACCTTACACTACAAGATCACAATACATAAGTTATCCAATCCTTACATTAGGATTTCCAAAAAAATACCTTCACTTCCAAAATGTGTAACAGTCAAGATCTAGCCAAATACATTTGAAATCTAATACAAGAGTACATCAAAAGAGGGTTCCATCAAGTTCCACTTTATCAATCCCTGTTAAGGAAAACAAATCTACGGGGTGAGCAAAAACGCTCGTGAGGCCAAGAACATACATGCAGGCATGTTGTTCAAGTAACAATCCCAATTTTTCAAGTCGAGTAATAACATTTCAATAAATGACAATTCAACCTAGAAAAGTAAACAGAAACAATTCAAGGATATATAAGCTATTTTCCAGGAGCTATTTTCCAGAAACAATTCAGGAGCTATTTTCCACTTGCACGATCACGAACCTCCACGAGTTGACAATCCGTCAATCCGGTAGGTTTAGTCTGTAGAAACTTCACTTACACGATCCCCTTCCAACTTAATACCACACCGGGCCCGCAATACTTTTATGAGGCGATACTCCACGAGTATGCCAAGCAAAACCTCTCGATAGGTCAAGCTTATATGATCTCATGGTTGGCCAAGGAGCCGATCAAGCCCATGCCGGCTCGAGTCCAAGGTTAGCCAATGAGAGAGTTGGGCGTCCCCCACATAACATGTAAAAGTCGAGGAGATTCACTCCAAACGACTTATGCGACCATAGCATAAACAAGCACTTAAACATTTCACTTAAATTCACTTAACAAGTCACTTCAAATAATTCAAGCACTTCATGTCACTAAATTTAAGTGCAATTCACCTAAATGAGAATGAGTACGATAAAATACACACTCGCATCGGCACTTCCAAAATTTTCATTTATCAAAAGCAATTAACACGTTGTCACACACTTGACACTCGTAAATCGAGACGCAAAGGCAGGGTTTTAAAGCACAAGAGAAATCTGATTTTTATCTCTAAATTCAAGTGTAAAATGATCATGTGATATCGAAGAAAAAAGGAGAATTCGAAAAACTCCATTTCCTTAAGTTTCAAAAATTTCAGTTTTGATATGAAATCTTTGAAAAATCGTATCTCACTCTTTACAAGTCCAAAATTGGAAAACTTGGTACCGTTGGAAACTTTTTCCAAAGTACTAAAAGTTCATAGAATACACTTTCCCATGATTCCAAATGAAAGACATTCAAAATTTGGCTCAAAATTACTGTTTTAGGCTTGCGAAACAGTTTTGAGGTTGGTTTTTCGCCAACTTTGAAAATTCGGCAAAATTCACAGAATTTGAACTAGCTTCTCAGATTTGAAAATCAATTAGATTTGCAATCAAGGTTTAAAAAAAAATAAGCGGAATAAGAATTGGAGTTTTGAGCACCAAGATATGGTGGCTCAAAGTTGCTGAAAGATAAGACCGTTGGCCAATTTTCTAGATTTAAATCGCTGACTTTGGGACGTTGGTTGGACATCGAAACGGACTCGGAATGGTACAAAATTTGGAAGTATTATCCTACCATATAAGTGCTATTCCTCTACCAAATTTCATAGGCAAATTCATTCGAAAAGTTGGTTAACAAAACCATCAAACTTTCCAAATCTCCAAGGCAAAACTGCCTTGCACCTCTAGTTCTCTTTTCCTCAAACCTTTGGCCAATAAAAATGCCTAAAACATGTCTCATTTATGATAACCAGGTCTAATAAGGATCCAAGATACATTTGGTAGGTGGTTTACACCAAGAATTTTGAATAGTAAGTCCCAAGTCAAGATTGGTTACAAATCAGTTCAAAATGAGGGTTTTCTCACTCAAAGTCAGTTTCGAAATCTGGTCATAAATCACTCAATTCAACTCAGAATTGAGCATGGTTGGTGGCATTGAAACCTAGATTCATAAACCTACAATTTATTAGAAGAAATCATTTTTAAAATCTGTCTACAACTAGCTCACATTTGAGCATCAATTCGTTGCTCAAAACAGAGCTCCCAGTGTATACGCGAAACGGGACAGTTATGTTTAAACGATTGGTATGGACTACTCAGGTGGAATCAGAATGTGCATTTTATACCGTTGAAAAGTTGGGAATATCTAATTTCCAGTGCCGTAAACAGCATTCGATTTCAACATCGGAGCAAAAAGGTATAGCCAAAACAAAAACAATGCCAGAGCAGTTGCGGGAAAAATTTCCAGTTTTGCTGGTTTCCGAAAACACATCATTTGGCCAACCAAATCATGAAACTTTTTTATGAAACTTTGTACACAACCTATATTACATATATACATCAGAAAAAAGTCATTAGAATCTCAAAATTTTGCACCATAGTGCACGGAATTCACAGGGGCAGAATCGAAAAAATTCTCCCTTTGACCTCCTTTGGGTTTTCATCCTTAATATCCCTCATTTCTGGTATAACAAGCACTAAACTAACATTAATAACACCATAGTTCATCAAATCAGTCCATCCAACCATAGTGGGAATTCATAGAGCCCACACACCAAAATCCAACATAAATAAAGCTACCCACATGCATGCATGAACTCATAAGTGCACTACTACTTCCATAAACTAAGAATTTCAAGGTTGATCATTGATTACCTTAGTTGATGACTTAGGCAGAAATTTTAGTCCTCTTAAAGCTCACAAGAACCGTGGAAATGAAGTCCTTTTTCCAGCTTGAGTTGCTCTTCAAGTGTTTAGCAAAGTTTAGTGTAAATTTGAGGTGATTTGGTGGAGTGAAGTGAAGTGAAATGATGAAGAAAGTTAGCTCTTTCTTCCCTTGGTGTGGCCGGCTGCTTGGAGAAGAAAAAGAAGAGATGGTGCTGATGGTAAGCTTCCGTGAGAAGCTTTAAAATTTGTGGCCAAAAATTGCTTCAAAAGTCAACTAGGAATAGTGCGCGTACGCGCGCATTTCGTGCTTGATTTCTCTCAGGTTTGTTTCACTAATGTACTAAACCTCTATTGCACTTCCATTCATACTATCATTATTCACTCTTAATAGTCCCTCAATTAAATTGCGCGTGTGAAAACGCATACTTCCGATTTTTGCGCAATAAAGCGAAATTTTCAAGAAATTCTTATAACGATTGTATCACTAACTAATACTTGAATACTTAAGTATAAAAATACCTATTTTAAGACTAATGTACAAGTCTCCAATTTTCCAAACTTATTGTATTCTCGAATCGATTATTGACTCCAATCGTGTATTCACTATTTTCACTTAACGAGCTTCCAAAAATTAAATTTTGAAACAAGCCATTTTAAAAATATAATTAACCTATAGATCCATATAATTAGGTCTAAAAAGGTTAGAAAATAATATTCAGGGCAATTGGCCAAATAGATAATTAAATAAGCTAGAATTAAGAGTTTAAAATAGATAAATTTTGTGAGTCTTCACAGCTCCAATTTGTATGCATTGTCATTGACTCGTTGAACCATTTGGAAAGGTCCATCGCCCCTTGGAGACAATTTGCTTTGGTATTGCTTAGGGAATAGCTCTTTCCTTAAGTGCAACCAAACCCAATCTCTAGGATCAAAAGCCATCTTGGGACGATGCTTGTTAGCTTGCTGGAGATATTGCATGGTACGCTTCTCAATATTGGCTCACACAAGTTCATGTAACCTGCGGACAAAATCAGCTTTCCTTTTCCCATCTAAGCTTGTGTGCTCAGAGGAAGGTAAGGGTGCCAAATCAAGAGGGGCCACAGGATTAAACCCGTAAACAACCTCAAATGGTGAGTAGTGTGTTGTACTATGAACAGTTCTATTATAAGCAAACCCAATATACGGCAGACACTCTTCCCAAGACTTAAGGTTTTTCTTAATTAAGGCCCTTAACAAAGTCCCAAGAGTTCGATTGACAACCTTGGTTTGTCCATCACTTTGGGGATGACTAGCGGTCGAAAATAATAATTTAGTACCAAGTTTAGATCACAAAGTCTTCCAAAAGTAACTCAAGAACTTAACATCTCTATCACTAACAATGGTTTAAGGTATACCATATAAACGCACAATTTCTTTGGAAAACAAGTTAGCAATATGAGATGCATCATCAGTTTTATGGCAAAGAATAAAATAAGTTATCTTTGAAAATCGATCAACTACAACATAAATGGAATCATTACCCCTTTGAGATCTAGACAGTCCCAACACAAAGTCCATAGACAAGTCTACCCATGGGTGCTTTGGAATTGGTAATGGTGTATACAAGCCATATAGATTTGTTTTAGACTTAGCTTTATGACAAGTAGCACATCTATCAACCATGCGTTCAACATCCCTACACATGTGTGGCTAATAAAAGTGTTCTTGCAACATAGCTAGAGTGTTAACAATACCAAAATGTCTCATTAGACCACCGCTATGTGCCTCTTGTACCAATAGGTCCCGAATGGAGGCATTAGGCATACACAACTTATCAACATAGAACAAAAATCCCTCGTGCAAGAAGTATTTTGCATGTGGAGTCCAAACACATATTTTATACACTTCACTGAAATCAACATCATTTGCATAAAACTCCTTTAACATCGCAAAACCAAGTAGTTTAGCATCAAGACAAACTAGTAAGGAATGTCTATGAGACAAGGCATCGGCTACAACATTCATTTTACCAATCTTATACTTAATAACATAGGAGAATGTGTCAATGAAACTTACCCACTTGGTGTGCCTTTCGTTTAATTTCGGCTGCCCTTTGAGGAATTTCAAGAATTTGTGGTCAGTATGGATCACGAACTCCCTTGGACGTAGATAATGCTGCCATGTCTCCAATGCTCTCACAAGTGCATACAATTCCTTGTCATAAGTGGGGTAATTCAAGGTTGCACCTCCCAACTTCTCACTAAAGAATGCACACGGCTTCTTGTCTTGCATTAACACTGCCCCAATCCCTACACCAGAAGCATTCATTCGATTTCAAAAGTCTTATTGAAGTTAGGTAATGTAAAACAGGTGTGTGTGTGAGTTTGTCCTTTAGAGCAAGGAAAGAGTTTTCCTATGCTTCCCTCCAGTGGAACTTGTCATGCTTCTTCATTACCGCGGTCAATGGTGCAGCAATGGTACTGAAGTCTTTGATAAAATGCCGGTAAAAGCCAACCAGGCCGTGGAAGCTTCGCACGTCCGTGACTGTTTTGAGCGTTGGCCATTGCTTGATGGCTTCGATCTTCGATTCGTCTACCTTGATGCCCTGTGAACTAACAACATAGCCTAGAAACACAAGGTCATTAGTACAAAAAGTGCACTTCTTAAGGTTAGCATAGAGGCTTGCCTTTCGAAGTGTGTCTAATACCAATCTCAAATGCTCCATGTGTACATGCATGTTTCGACTATAGATCAAAATATCATCAAAGTAAACAATGACAAATTTCTCTAGAAAGTGCCTTAAAACATGGTTCATTAGTTTCATGAAAGTGCTAGATGCGTTAGTCAACCCAAAAGACATGACTAACCATTCATAAAGACCATGCTTTGTTTTAAAGATCGCTCCCTCTTTCATCCTAATTTGATGATAGCCACTCCTTAGATCAATCTTCGTGAAGATGACATCACCTTCAAGTTCATCTAGCATATCATCTAATCTAGGGATGGGGTGATGGTATTTAACAGTTATAGCATTTACAACCCTACAATCAGTACACATTCTCCAAGTTCCATCTTCTTTTGAGACAAGAATAACAAGGACGGCACATGGACTTAAACTTTCCTTAACCCAACCCTTACCTAGTAGGCCATCAACTTGCCTTTAGAGTTCTTTAGTTTCTTCGGACCCATTTGGTAGGCTGGTTTGTTGGGTAGAGGTGCTCTAAGAATAAGGTCTATTTGATGCTCAATCTCTCAGATGGGTGGTAATCGATCAGGGATCTCATCAGGAAATACATTCTCAAATTCCTGTCACAAAGCAACTACACTCAAAGGCAATGCCTTATCGAAATCATCAACATTCAAAAGCACATGTTTATATATCATAAGTAGCAAAGGCTGATTGGAATGAACAACTTTCTTAACGTCTTTAGCCTTTATTATCATGCTTTGTTTTCTAGTGTTTGACTTAACTAAAGTTTGATCATTTGTAACACTAGACACAACGTGCTTCCCCTTGGCTGATTGCTCTAACTTCGAGTTTGAACAATGTTCAGGCTCGGCCTCTCTTTGTTTCCTTTTTTGGTGGTCTAAGTCACATTCTCTTTGCAACTTAAGTTGGTCCTCGTACACTTGTGCGGGTGTGAGAGATGTTAAAACCATTTTTTTACCATTGTGCAGAAGAATATATACTTATTAGACCTACCATCAAAAGTAACATTCTTATCAAATTACCATGGTCTTCCTAAGATCACATGAGTAGCATGAATAGGGACAACATTGCATATGACTTCATCACAATACTTTCTAATTGAGAAAGGAAGACGTACCTACTTGTAGACATGGACTTCACCGTCTTCACTTAGCCATTGAAGTCGATAAGGATGTGGATGTTTGGTTGTAGGCAGCCCGAAGCTCTCCACCATTAGCAAACTTGCGACATTAGTACAACTCCCACCATCAATGATGAGACTGCACACTTTGTCACTTACTTTACATCGAGTGTAAAATAAGTTCTCCCGTTGTAATTGCTTATCTTCTTTAACTCGTGCGGTAAGCACCCTCCTCGCGACCAAGCAACCCATTTCACCTTGGGTTAGTGAACACTCCTCCTCGGCTGAATCAAGTTCACCTTCCTCCTTGGTTAAACCCGGTATCTCCTCACAATCGTCATCATCCGACACGACGTCCCCATTGTGAGTGATAAGCATAACCCTTTGATTCGGACATTGAGATTGGGTATGTCTGAAACCTTGACATTTGTAACACTTAATATCCCTACTCCTAGGCTTAGGAGCCTCTTGAGTAGGCTTTGAAGTGGACTTAGCTGGATCGACAACCTTGTTAGGGATAGAATGGAAATTTTAGTTAGGGAAGTTACCTTGGGTTCGGCTATATGCAGATGGTGTAACCGAATTTCTAGCTTCGGGGGTAGTTCTCCTTGGCTAACTTCCTTCCCAAGTATTAGGATTCGGGGTGGAATGTAAACGGCCACCTCTCCTTTGTTTCCTCCCCCGCTCGTGTGACAGCCCCACCTTCCCCTAAGGCGAACCAAAGGGGTTAGCGGACAGCCTGCCCAACTCTCGCCAGGACTAATGGTTCAGTTCACATCGATCTAATACGTTCCGAAACATACTAACGCACGTAAACAAGTCAAAATCACAAATTAAAAAAAAACGAAAATTGGAGCGGGTCATGAATAGTACCGGCCACGTCAAAATCCGGCCAAACATCACGCAAACATACACATCTTGAAATTCAACATTTACATTCCAAAATGGCATACAAAATTATCCCATAAGTTTATACATGTACGGTTTGCCAAACCAAAAGAGAAAAATGGACCCAAAAGTGCATTCAGGGTTTCAATCAATGAGCTATACAAAAGATATGTACATCTAGCTTAATTCGGCAACCAACTATCAAATCCAGTCCAAAAGTATTTATTTTCTTGTAAGGAAAACAAAAGAAACAGAGTGAGCTTACGCCCAGTGGTATACTATCACATAAGCAACCAAGTCATATAGGCATAAAGCGGTCAAGGAAGAAATACCAAGATCACACATTAACAAGATGGTAAAAGGATACGGACGGCTCTCAAGAGCCCCTTTCCTCGCTGGTATTCTTGATCCAACCTCATTGACCCTCCGTCAATGTTCAAGAGTAACCAACCGTAGGCTCCACTTTACTTCCATTCCTTCCACCCAACATACCCCTACCGGGCCCGAACTCCAAACAGTAGAAATTTGGTAATACTCGAGTATACCGGAATCAAGAGTCTCACTACTACAAGATTTCATATAACAGTCCCTATGGCTCGTCGACCTTCATGACCAAGCCCTCACTGGCTCGATTCAATCGACTACCAATGGGGTTGAGCTCAGTGGTAGCAGTAAGGGTCGTTGGATACTCGTCCAAGCGACACCCAATTCATGAATTAAATTCAGTATTTCATGTATCATTCAATCATTACAGTGAAACAGTAGACAATCATATGAGATACCAAATGGGTGAGGGCGATCAAGTACACCCTCACTTAATCAATTTCAACGGAGCAAATAATCCTTCAAGGCATCAAGTTCACATATACCAAAGCCACATTGTAAACAACAAGTGAGTAGTACACTCACCAATCAAGCAAATGATATTTCATGCACTTCCGCCTAAGAGTGTCTTGCACCACCGTCACGTCCTAACATATTCAAATAAGCACAATAAGACTCGCTTACAAGTCATAAATCAATCCCAAATACTATCAAAATAGAGCTTCATAAGAATGTATAAGCACTAGAGTAAACCAGGGAAATCCGGAAATGGAATTAAGCTCTAAACCAGAAAAATAGTTTTTGATGTCATTTTGCGGTTTTGGCACCATTGGCACTACAATTATCGGATGGAGGTGTAAGATACACCGTTTCGAAGCTAAGAGATAGGGCTACAAAGTTACAGTAGGTCACTCAGTCCAGTTAATAGTGCAACTAGGTACAAAATGCAAGATACTAAACCAGAACCGCAAAAACAGGTGAACAAACCGCATTCTGGTTAACAAACTGTAATTCAGGCTACCTAAGTCCAAATCAAGTGATTCCAAAGCCATCCGAAAGCTAAGACATCAGGCTACATTTCTTCAGAAGACCTCAACAACCAAATCAGAAGTATTCCCAACCAAATTAACCAATTACAGAAGCAATTCTCAAGTTCAGGTGAAACCAGGGCAGCAGGGGTATTTCGGTCTTTTCACAAGCTACACTACTCCGATGTTTTAACCCAAGGCTAATTCAGCCTCTAACTATGATGAACAGTGCCAGGCAGAATGAAGGAAATGAAACCCTAGCTTTCCAAATTTCCTTCCAAAACAGAAATTTCCTGCAATTAACCACTTTTTCCACCTTCTAACTTCCTTAAATATCATTTACATTCATCATACATGACCACATAATAATAATCATATGAAAACAGAAAAATCACCAATAATTATAAAACTTTACCAATTCAACCAAAATCAAGATATAATCCATAAAATTACATCTTAAACTACCACAAATCATGAATTAAACATCATTAGATGGAGGAGAGGGGTTCCTTCACTACTCACCTTAGCAACACAAGAGAGGGAGCAACTAATCACCTTAACCTTCCAAACAACTCCACTAAACAACTCACAATCACTCACTTAAGGTTTTCTATGGAACAAAAGCAAGATTAAGTGGTTGATTTGGTAGATTTGAGCAAGATTGAAGCAAAAACTTGAAGAGTTTTCTTTCTTTCTTTCTTGGAGAGGGCCGGCTATGAGCTTGCAAATTTGGAGTGAATTTTGGTCAATTTTTGAGTTATTTTAGTAAAAGGGTAAAAGTATGAATAGTAGTCAAAAGTAACCACTAACCATATGGTGACACTTGTCACTATAATTAATGCATCTCTATCTCTTTGTTTTCTCTCACACCAATCCAAATAGCAACCTCTAATTATCCCATAACACCCGGTAAATTAAACCCAGTATCCAAAACTTAACCTAGTTGGCCGAATTTTTCCGAACTTTCCGCACTAGCGGGTCCCACGTCCGGTATACGCTCTTAATTTCTCAAAACCTAACCGATACTAGAAAAATCATCTAAAAACTATATTTACTCATAAAAATTATCGAAAAAATTTTCCTAATAAAGAAAATGCGGAAAACATGCCATTAACGAGAAAAAACCCTAGAAAAATGAGAAAATTACGGGTTCTCACAGCTCGGCCTTGATGGCTAGTTCAAGTAGTTCGCCCATATCCAAGTAATGTTGTAGTTCTAAGGCCTCTTGAAGTTCAAGGTTTAAACCCCTAAGAAACCT